CAAAAACTTATCATGGTGTTTAGTTATCGTAGTGCATATGTTTTCATGCTATATACACATAAAAATGCCAGGGGAGGGAGGTATACTGCCGTGCTATTTACACAGAAGATATCGGAGTATCTTTTCAAAAAAAGATCCCTACGATCAAAGTTACTACCATGGTGTTTCTACCTCATTTATCAGATGTGCGATGCGTATATTATCATCTATTTACACATAAATTATCAGGTATCTTTTCACATTTGTCTTTCCAATGGTTAAAGTTACCATGACTTTTGTATCTAAATTATCAGGTCTATGGCGTGAATGTTATCGTGCTATTTACAGAAATTACCGAGGGACGGGTTCAACAAATTTATTCTCAATGATCAAAGTTACCACGATGCTTGAAACAAAAAGTTTTTCAGTGCTAACATATTAAAGGCAAAACATGTCAAAAACAATATTTCCTTTAGCTTGTTCAACAATGAGTGTCATAGGTGAAGTTGTTAGCTCCCTTTGTTGATTACCTGCAGACCAAAGATCAAATCCTAGTCCAAGCATTATTTTTGCCGAAAATCGTGCAGGAAGGAAGAAGATCAGTAGGGAACTGATGGCGCTCGATGCGTGTGGCAGTTTCGCAATCTCCCACACGGTTGTCATATACATATTTCGTTTGAAAATTGTACTATTGATTTGATTGAACCACAAAAACTGCGAGTAGTAGGATGCTACTGGATTTATAAAATCGGCACGACACTCCTCCAACATTATGATGCTCCATAGCCCGTAGGCATAAACACCTTTTACTTTTGTTTCATCTTTCATATCCCTCGCATGAATGATGAACCTGCATATATTATACTTTTGAGAGATGCTTGAAAATAAAGGAAACGGGAAATTCAATATTGTTGTCGACGTCATGACTCGTCGATGAAGATGTGCCATGGCCAATCCAGTTCTGGTATGAATTCATAGTTCACACTTTTCCCTACAATCCTAAGTCTGAAACAGACAAAATAAGGAACTAACTGGAGCTTGTGCCTGATTCTATTTACCCAAAGTAGCAGAGCAAATAAAATGAATACAACATGAGAGAGAGAAAAATATATACCCAAGCTTGCACTTATTTAATGTATATTGAGGTGCTAGACATTACACAAAAAGTTGTCCAGCAAAATACCATAGAAAGGTTGTCACTGTAATACTGAAAGCAATAGCCAAAGATCACTGTATAGTTCTTTCAGAGAAATAAAATGGCGAGCTCGCTTCACCACCCAATCTAAATGCATGCGTCTCAATCCGAATTGCTACATGATCAGGTAATTTTGCATGTAACCTTAGTTGTCCAGAACACAGGGGCTCATGCCTACATGATCACCATAACTGGAGTTTTCTCAGTTTTTTTTGGTAATAAATGTTAGATGCTGAAAGGAGTAAGTCATCCTAGTGTTACGGCCTCTAGGGCATTTAAATTTGGTCTCAGTTAAGAAGATTAGTCCAAAATGACGCATCATCAGTATTCCCCATCAGATTTCAAGTAGTACTCTTGAATTAGTTTACACCAAAAAGTACTATAGCACAGTATGGATTGGATTCTTTTTTCATTTTGAAATTAAACTGTGATCAGCATATATGAAAAGTAAGTTCAAACAGCTGAACAAAAAGTCGATTTTTCTTTGCAAAATTGCTAAAGTAAGTTTCTAGCAGTGCACCTAGACTCTGAATCAAACTAAGAGCCAATAGTTAATTAGCACCACCACCATTTATTATGAAAAAAGTACCACCATATGGATATGCCTGCTCTTCTAATTCTATTTGAGCACATCATCTTACCATCCACACTCCAAACACACCAAAACAGACTCTGAATTAAACTAATGTCGATGAGCATGAAGAACACCTCACCGTGGAGGAGGGCCGCCTGCATCGTGAGTTGCGCAGCGCGGTGGGCGGGTGATCTGCACCGCAGAGGAGTTGGACTCGGCGGCCTGCAAATGTAGCGGAGGAGGCTAGCATACACAGCCTGGGACACTTAGTAGAATCAAATGGATCTGCGTCTAGTTGGTTAGTCTTCTGCAACGAAAAGATGAACTGGATTGTTAGAAATCATGTGAAAATGCTTACGCACCAAATCCTAACGAAAATTGCAAGACTATTGAAAGTACACAAAACCCAGTATCACACCTCAGTTCAACATGAGAAGTAAATTAGCACAGTTGATCCGACGGACATTAGAATAAATACATACACAAAATCCAGTTTCAGAATTGCAACATATGAACTTAATCGCAGCACTTAGAATTAAGTTTTCGGCAGTTCGGCACAGGGCGTATCAAATAAAAACACACAAGATTTGAAATTTCCTTTGTCAGAACAGCAAGAAAGGAATAGGGATCCCAAAGGAATATACCAGCGAGGTCTGCGATGAAGGGGTGGCTGGGCCATCCAGTGGTGTTGCTCACGACATCAAGCAGCTATAGTCGTGCGCCACACGGGAGGCTGACTGAATGGCAGAAGCGTGCGCTCACCAGATGGTTGGCCAGGACAACCTTGGCGCCCTTCCCCATGAGGAACTTGATGGACGGCATGGAGGCGCGGATGCGGTTGTCACCAATGATGTTCAGGCCGTCGTCCAACAGAACGTTCAGATCGGCACTAAGGAACACCTTCTCCCCCCTGAGGCCCTTGTCACCCAGGGTGCCTGCGCACCTCTTGGTCGCCATTTCCTCCTTGGTCTCCCCTTCCCCTGCACCAAATCCGACTCTGTAAACATCATAATAGTCCGCAGAGGAACCAGATTCAGACCATTGGAGATTTACCACGCAAGAGATCGATCGGGTTAATGGCAATTGAACATCACATTCTTCCATTCGAAAGTAGGTTCATGAATCCTTGTGATGATTTTGTGGGTGTTCTCTACCACACTGAATTCAAAATCTGCAAAAATAGAAAGGAACAAATTTTAAGCTGCGGGTGTGTAAGTGTAACTGAAGAACCTCGTCTTATGACGGAGGGATCACTCCTCGGCAGGAGGCTTCTCCGCCTGCGCCATGGATTCCTGACGCAAGTGGCGGAACACGGTGAGGACGGTAGGAAGGGAGCAATATCGCCATGGCCTCGACGCACTCCCTTGAGCTTGTGACTCCCATCATGGTGGAGATCGTGAAGCCGGCAACGTCGCAGGGGAAGCGAAGATGCGTTGAGAGGAGGATCTGGGAGGCTGCGGCTTGCAAGGCTTCTGGTAGGGACCGCGAGGCGGGGAGAGGATTGTGGAGGAGGAGTGATGCACCTGGTGCCGCGCGGAGGAACGCCAATAACTGCTCCATCGCCGGTCGATTGGATCTACGGCGGCACGACTGATGTCCATCGCCTGGAACTTCTTCCCGAGTTGTGTTGCCCAATAATGCTAGAGTCACGGACAATCACGGGCGTTTTACAAGGCTTACTTCTAAACAAATCTCTCTGCCCCTCCTGATTTTCAGGGGGTGTGGGGCCTTCCCCTCCTAATATGCAATTCTACTGGTCCACCTCATCTAGCCCGTGAACCCCGTATTAAAATCCCCCGTTGATGTAGCATTACTCATGTGTTGCCTCTGCGTGGTAGCGCTCGAAGAGGGGAGGCCCTGCGGCAGTGCGGCTTGGTGCATGTCGGGGGCGGCTGACTCTGGCCTACTCCTCCTCCTCCTCGGCCGCCGCGGCCGCCGTAGTTGCTACGCTCACCGCAGGTCGCCATACTTGTTGCCGCCGCCGTAATTGTTGTCGCCCTGGTGATATCGCCCGTCCTCGGTCACGACCACCGTCTTCGTAGCCCCATTGGCACGCATGCTCTCTTCCGTCGCTGCTATCACCGCCTCCATGGTGGGCAAGGTTGCTGCGGATCCGTTCTTTCCGATATGGGGCCAAAGAAAAATGGGTCGAGGAGCCACGATTCCGGTGGAATCAATCCGGAAATCCGGAGCTGCGGGCGTGGATCGGGGATGGAAATTGACAGACCATAGAGCGTCTGCTCGGCAGAACATCCAATCCGGGACGTTGATTTGCGTGGCAGATCATTAGCGTAATTTCAACGGTAGGATCTACTTAAGTTGATTTCATCGGAGGGCTTTGGTTATCCCGTATACAGTTTGTTATGTGGAGTTAGGAGAATTTACGTTTGCTTTTTTAATAATAGTGTAGATTTTCGCCACCGTTTCCTTTTCTGTTCACCGGTTAATCAGTAGTGTTCGAGAACAGTGTATGTGGATGGTCCATCGGTAGGTGCATGCATGACTGCCTACTCCTGTGTTGTTTTCGTCTAGCTATATATGCATGTCGTACTAAGTTGTGGTAGAATTGATTAATAATCAGGCACCCCAATTTGGACAAGTGTTAACTTCTCATTTTATAGTTGATGAGGTGTTAACTTGCCTGCACGTACGAGCTGTTTACTAGTAATAAACTGTTGATGTGAGCAGCAGCATGCATCTCCGGACGAGCAGCAGCAGCATGAAGTGCGTGTCCACATGAACCGCCGCAAATGTACCGAGCAATCGTCAGCTTGGTAGACTTCGTGCGCAATATCAACCATCACTGTAATTCAACTAAAGAAAAACATCACTGATCATTTTTTTTGTATTTAGAACCATGTACTTCACATAAATTAACCTGCTCTCAACCTCTGGCCCTCCCGTCATTTATATTTCATGTATGTCGTAGTTGTGTAGTCGTGCGTGGTTGTCTTTGTTTGTGTCGGTGTAGAGTTGTGCTACACTCGTTGTTCGCAGCGAGAGGTAGAGGTGGTTGTATGACTGTATTTCTCTCCTTCTATAAAGTTAAGGTACGCAATTTACGTACTCTTGAAAAAAAAATTGTTCACACTTTGCCAAACAGTCTTTTTATATAAAGCACAAATGGTCAAATAGATACAAGGGCTATTTTGTTCAAAGTCAGAAAGGGTATAATTTTGAACTGTTTCTACCATCGATATGTAACATCAGATACCGTATCGATAGGTTTTAGTAAACAGTTTTCATTTTATTTTTTTATTGAACTTTTCTGCATCTTATGTGCCATGTGTTGGAGCAACTCGCAGCGGACGCTATGCTCATATTGCAATCGATGAATGTGCACTCCGACTTATCTTACCTATGAAAGAACGAAAGGTTCGACCAGGGGAGTGAATCTGCGACTACACATTTTTAATTTAGGGATTGCAAATCCAACAGAGAGCATATCAGACAAAGTGGCTTATCCTTTTTACTTGGCATGAATCCCAACTCTTCGGCATTCGCCAAAGCCCCTATTAATAATATGCTTTTATTGGGACACAAAGATAGAAATGTAGGATGACATTTAAATACACTGTCTTTTTTAATTTATCTTTTTTTCTTTGGGGTCTCCAACATATTTATACTTCAATTCCTTGGGACTAATACTTGTTAATATACTCATGAATATTTTTTGTCCCCTAATCATGTGTCATTATCACCAAAACGTAGTTAGAGGCAAAGACATCGTTTCACCCACTTCCATTCTCAACAACACAGACGCGGCAATGATGCCAAGGAAATCGTAAAATCACTAGAAGGCGGAAGGAAAATATTCTTTATAATGTTAAATAATAATAGATTTCACCCACTTCAGGAAATTTGATGGCATTGAAGTGAAATTTTAGATGCATGTACACTGTCGGAATCGGGGCTCCGGGGACCCGACAAGGTTCGAACTCTGGGGATCGCTGGTTCCTTCGGCCTACTCAACCTCTCTGCTTCGCGGCCTCATGGCGACACTCCGGCGTGCTCGAGCTACGGAAGAAGAACGATGAACACGGCAATTTACCCAGGTTCGAGCCACCTTACGGTGTAAGACCCTACTCCTGCTTGGTTGGGATTGCTTGAGGATGAGAGATAGTATAAAGGTGGGTTCTGGCTAGCTAGGGTTTGATTCTCTCCTATGGCGCCAGCTTGCCCTACTTATACTGGCCTTAGTCCTCTTCCCCCGAAAACACAAGGCGAAAAGGGTTGCCACAACGGCTAATTTGAAGGGGGACAAGACTACAGCTTATCCTGACAAAAGTAGTCTTCGCCTGTTAAAGCCTCCTGCCGTGACGAGCTGGTGGGCTCGGGGATGACCTCTGTCCTGGTGAGCCCCCAGCCTTGGTCTTCTTGCACCAAACATGAAACATTTGGAAATTGCTTTGGGAACCGGCGAGCTGGCCTGCTCCCTTAGCACAAAAGAGGAAAGCCTCCTTGTTTGTGTCTGCTGGCACGGGTCCTGGCGCCGCTCGATGTGGCTCGCGTCACCCACGTGTGGCGCGAGGCGGGGCTTGGCAACCCTCGACATGTCCGCCCCGCGAGGGACCTCGTGAGGCCACCTTGCGAGAAGGCCTCGGGGAGCTCCTGACGACGCTTGCTGACGTGCGCCTTGCGAGGCGGGGGCCCTTGCGAGGGTCTTGCTCATGAAGTCCAATGGTGGGCCATGCTAAGCCTATGGCATGCGCCACGTCCTGGGCCGCAGGCAGACGGGCCTGGGTACCCCCAATCTCAGGGCCCAACATACACTTTGATAAGCACACGTACAAGCCAGCTATAACTCAAAAATAAAAATTTGCATGTCGTCCTCACTCAAGGAAAAATTACCCCCATAGACTACCTAAAACCACCCACGAAAATCGTCTTGTCCCTTAGAGCATCTCCAGCCGTTGGCCCCCCAGGGGACGTCTAAAAGCGCCGTCTGGGGGTGAGCCGGCGCAAAAAATGGCCCTAGGACGAGTCGGTCCCCAGCCGTCGGCCCCCAGGGCCGCCCCCAGGCGCGTATTAAAATAAAAAAAGAAAGACCGTTCGGCGAAGTTATGATAAAAACTAGTTAAATTTCGGCCAAACATGGCAATTTTCAGTGAAATTCGCGCATTTTCATTACATTAACCTAATCTAAAAAAGAAAGGGGCTGAAGTCGTCGCCGCCGTCGCCGCCATCGTCGTCGTCGGCCTTCTCCTCCTTGACGCGGGCGCCCCTGCTGGACCCCTGCCCGGCGTCGCCATGGCGGACTGGCGGCGGCTCGTCGTCGTCGTCGTCGCTGTCGCATAAAGACGACGACCCCGTCTTCATCGCAGTCGCGTCGGCGCTCCTCGAAGCGGCGCAGGGCGGGGTGCTGGCGCTCCTTCTCCTTCTCCCGGCGCGCCTTCTCCATCGCAATGGAGTCCTGGCCCGCCCATTCTAGGGCCGCGTCGTCGTCGTCGAACTCCGCCTTCACCGGCGCCAGCCCCGGCTCCATCTTCACCGGCGCCAGCCCCGGCTCCATCTTTGGCTTGACGAAGCGCGAAGGAGCCGACGAGGAGGAGGCACGCCGGCCGCCCTCGTTGATGACGATGCCGACGTTGCGAGTGCGCCGACCGATTGGCGTCCCCGCCGCGGGCTCGGCCTTGACGCCGAGAAGCGCCGAAGAACCGGAGGAGTGGAAACATGAGCGAGAAGAGGAAGACGAGGAGGAGGCGAACCTCCTTGGTGCCCATGCACATCGGTATTGCGACGGGGCGGCCCCCGTCGCAGGATAGGTCAACGGCGGGTTGTTGCTGCCGTCAAGGTACGCCAGCATGCCATCCAGCGTGCGGCCGGGGACGCCCCACCATAGGTGGCGCCCCTCGCTGTTCTTCACGCTGCCGACCACCGACGCGCCGTTGGTGGAGGCCAGGCGCTGCTGCTGGCGACGCCGGAAGTACGCCGCCCAAGACGCGTGATTGCGGGCGGCGTACTGGGGGAGGGAGCGCTCGTCGTCGGTCAGGGAGGCGCGCGCGACCTCGACCTCCTCGGCGAAGTACCTGGGCTTCGCCACGGTGTCGGGTAACGGGGGAATGGGCACTCCCCCGTCGCTGAGCCGCCACCCCGTCGGCCCGGCGCGCATGTCCGGCGGCGCCGGGATGTTCGCCTGGAACAGGAGCCAGGACTCCTGTTCGCGGAGCGAACGGCGGACGAAGCCGTTCGCCGCCGCCTCGTCTCCGGGGAAGCGCTCTGCCATGGCGACGGGCTCGGCGATGGTAGAAAGGGAGAGAGAGGGGCTGCCAGTGGCGCTCGGGAAAGGGAGACGGAGACGGAGAGAGAGGGGCTGGGCGGCGGCGAGGGGCGAGTCTGGTGTGGGCACAGGCGACCGCCGGCTTTTATAGCCGTTCCGCGCCCGTGTGTACGCGTGCGAGGGAGGGGAGACGTCGGCGCGCCGCCCATGAGGAATCAATGGCAAGGCTGACCGGCGGCGGCCTTGCCATTGATTCCCTGCGGGAACCGAGGCAGTTGGGGGAAGACGAGCCGCCGTGTCCCTGACGCGGCTGGCCCGCGGCTTTTTCGCGCCAAAACAG